GGGGGGGGGGGTGACTCCCTGTGTGCCTCCCTGCGCCCTCTACTCTCATCCCTTCCCCGTTTTCCTCCCAAACCTCTCACCAGGGAACCTAGCCAGCCAGAAAGGGATCCTTCGACTGCGCTGAGCCCCAGCCCCTTCCAAACGTGAGGCTCACGGGGAGAACTCCTGCTCTGCCCAGTTTCCATTCCTGCTTCCAGAATAACGAGCCGAAAACATGTGTACTGTAAATAAAGCCTGTCTAAATAAAGCACTCGGGTAAAGGCTGCCGAGAAAACACTCGGCATCGCTCTGTGCTCAGAGCGTGAGTCAGCTTCCCAGCTCCCGGGGAACAATGGAGACCTTGCCAAGGGTCCCCTCCTGTCAATCCCTGAAGGCCCCCAAGCCCATGTAGGTGGTGGAGACGACGGCCCATTGGGACCGTCGACCTGGAGATTCGGGGGGGGGGGGGGGGGGGGGGGGGGGGGGGGGGGGGAGGGGGCGCTCCCGACGGCCCGAGGTTGGGGTCCAGCCCCGGCGTTCGCGCCGCCAGGAATCCGTCTACCCGCAGCTGCCGCGGAGGGGTTGAGGGTTAAGCAAACACCGGGCAGAAGAGCGAGCCTGGGGTGCTGTGGGGCTGCTGCCCTCGAGACGCAGACACTGGAGAGAAGGAGACGCTGGGGGCGCTCGCTACGGAGCCTCCCGGAGGGAAGACGCCCCCTCCTCATTCCCAAGCCGGGCCCTCGCCCACTCGGCTGGCCGCCTCTCTCCTCCGCAGCCTCCCAAGTCTCAACGGAAGCGAGCGTAGCAGCTGCCAGAGTCACCCCACTCCTTCAGCAGTCCCCATAGGCCCATACGCGTACACTAGCCGCCCCACACACATGTGCTGGGGACTCCGTGTGCGCGCCAAGGCCCAGTGAAACGGCGTCCCTTTGAGGGAGAGCGGTTTTGGGACTCGTGGCGGCCTCCGCGCCACGTCTTCTGTCCTCTGGGTTTCCGTGCGGAGCTGCGCACCCCCCCCCCCATAGGGTTCCGACTGGGGCGGT